TGTGCGAGACCAGAGACATGTAGTTCACAGAGCGGCTTCATACAAAAAATGTGTTACTTCACAGTTTTATGACTTACAACATTTTCTTTTAAATTGACAAACATCATATGTGTAATTCGTGTCACAATTCAAACGGGATTGAAAGATACGTTTTCTCTCCCCTTTGACTTCAATACATAATTTTTCCGAAATAAGGTCCCATGGAGCTCGACCGGAAGTGGAGGGACTTCGCCTCTCTATAGTGTGGCGAAGTCACAGCCATCTACTTCCGCCCCATGGGACCTTATTTCTGAAAAATTATGTATTGAAGTCAATGGAGAGAGAAAACGTATCTTTGGATCCCGTTTGAGTTGTGACACGAATTACACATATGATGTTTTTCAATCTTAAAAAATCATTTTCATGTCAAAAAAGACTGAAAAATACGCAACTAGAAAGACTACAAATCCCAGAGTCGCGTACATTAACGTTACACATTACACTCGTGTTACTCACCAAAACCTTGTAAAGCCGGTCCCGCATAGATTAGAGTAACAAATGCGTCACTTCCGGGCAAAAATAACGGCTCCGCCCACTTTGGGGGGAAAACAACGCTGTCAGTTGAACGGCGGTCAATACAAATTCTGAAGTTTTTGCCAATCCGATCATAAATGTAAGAAAACCGGAGATTTTTGGATCTTCAAAGAGCCCGATTCCAATGGCCAGACAGGCAAACAATTGCATTAAGCCATTAGAAATCGACGATCGGGCTCGATATATGGTTACATATAGCAGTAGGCTATCGATTTTCATAGATGAGAGTAACATCTACGTGACTTTACGGCCCCGCCCACTTTTGGGGGAAACAACGCTGTCATTTGAATGGTGATCGAGCCTGAAGCCACAGAGCTCTTCTGTTACTGTCCTTTCTTCTTAGAGGAAGTAATGAAACACTGAACTCTTGATTATTTTTTATGTTTGAGGTGCAATAAACGACACAGCAGCTTTTTGGCATGTTAAAACTATTATGTTCCGCCTCGCTCATGAGAGCAACAGCTGGAGAAATTACAGGCTCGACTACTGATTTTAATTTAACCATATATCGAGACCTATTGTCGATTTCCAATGATCAAATGTAATTGTTTTCCTGACTGACCATCGTAATCGCGCTCTTTGAAGATCCAAAAATCCACGGTTTTCAAAAAAATGTGATCGGATAGGCAAAAACTTCAGAATTTGTATTGACCGCCGTTCAACTGACAGCGTTGGTTTCCCCCAAAAGTGGGCTGGGCCGTAATTTTTGCCCGGAAGTGACGTAGGTGTTACTCTCATCTACGCTGGCTCTTACGGAACCGACTAACTCCCCTTTTGTGTATGTACAGTTCTCAACATGGCCAGACTTGTTGTGATTTTCACCTATTTTAATACTTTTCACTTCATTCTGAAAGAAAGAGGTGAAATGTGCTAACGTGACGGCCATATTGGTGTTGGTTACGTATGCAAGACCAGAGATGTAGTTCATTGAGTGATTCACACAAAATAAAGTGTTACTTCACAGTTTTACGACACATTTTAATTTTTTTTTACTTGCAAAATTATCTTTTAAATTGACAAACATCATATGTGTAATTCGTGGCACAATTCAAACGGGATCGAAAGATAATCTTTCTCTCCCCATTGACTTCAATACATACTTTTTCCGAAATAAGGTCCCATGAAGCTCCCCCGGAAAGGGAAGGACTTCGCCTTTCTATGTAATGTTTACACAGTTAACTTTAGTCTAAGTTATCTTAGTGGGTCTCAAACGGTTTGGTCACCATATATGGAAACAAATATTTCCAAGGCACACTTTTATATGATTGTAATGTTCCAAAATAGGAGTCGGAAACAGGCCTCAAGTTCTTAATAGCTCCTTTGGTAGCATACAGGTTCATAGGTTGCAGGTTGCAGGTTCAACGTCACACAGCACCCTATACAGGGTCTCTACGTTATTATTATATCTAATGGGGCAAAAAAGTATTTAGTCAGCCACCAATTGTGCAAGTTCTCCCACTTAAAAAGACGAGAGAGGCCTGTAATTTTCATCCTAGGTATACCTCAACTATGAGAGACAGAATGAGAAAAAAAAATCCAGAAAATCACATTGTCTGATTTTTAAAGAATTTATTTGGTGGAAAATAAGTATTTGGTCAAAAACAAAAGTTCATCTCAATACTTTGTTATATACCCTTTGTTGGCAATGACAGAGGTCAAACGTTTTCTGTAAGTCTTCACAAGATTTTCAGACACTGTTGCTGGTATTTTGGCCCATTCCTCCATGCAGATCTCCTCTAGAGCAGTGATGTTTTGGGGCTGTCGCTGGGCAACACGGACTTTCAACTCCCTCCAAAGATTTTCTATGAGGTTGAGATCTGGAGACTGGCTAGGCCACTCCAGGACCTTACGAAGCCACTCCTTCGTTGCCCAGGCGGTGTGTTTGGGATCATTGTCATGCTGAAAGACCCAGCCACGTTTAATCTTCAATGCCCTTGCTGATGGAAGGTGGTTGTCACTCAAAATCTCACGATACATAGCGCCATTCATTCTTTCCTTTCCACGGATCAGTCGTCCTGGTCCCTTTGCAGAAAAACAGCCCCAAAGCATGATGTTTCCACCCCCATGTTTCACAGTAGGTATGGTGTTCTTTGGATGCAACTCAGCATTCTTTCTCCTCCAAACACGTCTAGTTGAGTTTTTACCAAAAGTTCTATTTTGGTTTAATCTGACCATATGACATTATCCCAATTCTCTTCTGGATCATCTAAATGCTCTCTAGCTAACTTCAGACGGGCCTGGACATGTACTGGCTTAAGCAGGGGGACACGTCTGGCACTGCAGGATTTGAGTCCCTGGCGGCGTAGTGTGTTACTGATGGTAGCCTTTGTTACTTTGGTCCCAGCTCTCTGCAGGTCATTGACTAGGTCCCCCCGTGTGGTTCTGGGATTTTTGCTCACCGTTCTTGTGATCATTTTGACCCCACGGGGTGAGATCTTGCGTGGAGCCCCAGATCAAGGGGGATTATCAGTGGTCTTGTATGTCTTCCATTTTCTAATAATTTCTCCCACAGTTGATTTCTTCACACCAAGCTGCTTACCTATTGCAGATGCAGTCTTCCCCGCCTGGTGCAGGTCTACAATTTTGTTTCTGGTGTCCTTTGACAGCTCTTTGGTCTTGGCCATAGTGGAGTTTGGAGTGTGACTGTTTGAGGTTGTGGACAGGTGTCTTTTATACTGATAACGAGTTCAAACAAGTGCCATTAATACAGTTAACGCGTGGAGGACAGAGGAGGCTCTTAAAGAAGAAGTTACAGGTCTGTGAGAGCCAGACATCTTGTTTGTTTGTAGGTGACCAAATACTTATTTTACCGAGGAATTTACCAATTAATTCATTAAAAATCCTACAATGTGATTTCCTGGATTCTTTCCCCCCATTTTGTCTCTCATAGTTGAAGTGTACCTAGGATGAACATTACAGGCCTCTCTCATCTTTTTAAGCGGGAGAACTTGCACAATTGGTGGCTGACTAAATACTTTTTTGGCCCACTGTATTTAAAAAAATCGAAGGAATGTAAAACATCGATGAAATCATTACAATTCATACCATTGGACATACAAAAAATACTGTTTAAAAAAGGAGTAAATAGTTAAATATGCACAAAGATAAATAAAAAAAAGTATTATTCATATTCTTATCATTTTTTTATTATTGAAATGTATAGTTAAGTTTCATATGGGTGTTGACAGATGTATCCATAGATTTAGTTAATTTTGCCCTCAAAGTGCACAATATTGATGCATTTAACTTCCCGGGGGCCTCCGGACACCCCTAGAGGATGTGAGGTCCACCTCTCCTTAAAACATATTCACATGGATAGGATACTAAATCAATTTGCACACTTTTTATATAGTAAGTTACCTTTGTACCTCAGCAGGAGGGAGTTAGTTAAGTGATCAGTGAAGGACGTGTATATACTATGAAGCAGCTGTGTCCAGCATTTACTGTAAGAATCACACACATGTATTCAATAATGCAGACTTAATAAACGACCATTCTTTGCTGATTCTGGCTGGAGTGTTAATTGACAGTTAGATAAGCTTAAAAAACGATACATTAACGATACATTTGAAACACTAGGCGATGCGATACGATTCACCCCTGTTGCGATACAGTTCGATACGATTTGATTCAATATTATGCGATTCGGTGCGATACGATGCGATTCAACACAAAAATAATGATACTTCAATATGGTACGACACAGGATTTTTGTTTTATTCCTTATATGCAGCAAATCATACATTAACAAAAAAGTGCTTTACATATTTGGTAATGCACATCCCATCATGCCGTTTATTTTTTTACCTTTAAAAGCTCTCCAGAGTACAGTACAATTGTATAACACCTCACAGTTAAACAATGTAAGGATGCATTGCTCATGATTAACAATGTGCAAATAACAGCTACCATAGTGCAATGCCCATACAGCTGCCAGACTGATGTGCTTAACACTCATTCATAGGCTAACTCACCAGTGAGCAGAAAGCAGTGGGTTCTATATGAACAATAAAGAATACAAATAACCTTTCACAAACAGGTATTTCATAACTGCTTACAGTAAGGAAGACAAAACTAAACACCACTCTCTCTGACAGAACACTTCACTGAGTGATTTAACTCATATGTCTAACTTTCAGGTTTCTCTTTTCAGCCGCAGACCCCATGTCGCCTCTTTATGTGCGTCGCTAAGTTCCTCGTACTACTTGTGTACTTTAAAGCGGCTCGGCATCGTTAACAATTTGCGAGCGATTTTTCAAATTGACCGTCTGTAGTATATAGTGCCGCGCACATATACCATCAGGACTTTACTGATGGGGTGCGGCTGCGGAGTGATACTGTGTGTATGCAAGCCCGCATCTAGGACGGATCTATGTATCATGGCTGTAGACCTGTTAAGTAATAAAGATACCTCATACAAAGGTCTACGGATACCTTATTACTCTCCATGACCTGCGGTCAACTATATAGCATAAAGGACTATTACACCGTCTTTCTTGAACAATCCGAAGTGTTGCCAAACGTTTGATTTGTAGGTATTTTTCGGTGCGCTGTGTTTCTCTTTCTCCTCAACTTCCGGGTGTGTTGATAACTGAGACTCTCTGCCTCCGTAGTGGCGAAGCAAATATCAAAGATAGTCTCTGTTTAGCGTTGACAAGATGAGGGGATTTTATATTAATTAATCGGTTTTTTACCGATGCAAAGACGCTACGCAATCGATGCATCGCGAGTTCAACCCGGTTCAACCCAAACTGTAGCCGATGTGCACTCTTTCAACCGGTGCACTCGCATCTTGAACGTTTATGCCGGTGCACCGACGCGAATTGGTGAATCTTAACATCTCTAACGTGCACGCATGCGGAATTTATAGAATTAGCAATACACTTTGTCACTTTAAACATGTGACTGACTCTGTATAACCATTTTTTCCCTACTCTTATGATTTTCTTTCATCCTATCTAAAAGATAAAAAAACATGAGTTCATTGTTTTAACAAGATTTTTCACGATAAAATAAAATACATGAATCCTGTAAACATTTTTAGTATAGTATTCTTATTTGTTTTATTCCCTGACATGCAACATTATCTGTGTTTCTGTTACAGATGTCTACTCAAAAAGTGTGCCAGACTTGCAAACAGAAAATAGGAGTAGCCAGCAGGAAATGCAGGCAATGTGGTGCCAACCAACCCTACAAGGAGAAACTATTAAAGCAAAAGGAAAAGGTTGCACAGGAGTGGAAGGCCACGCAGCAAAAAAACCACAGTGTCAACAAAGTTTATGACTCAACAAATCTACTGGTAAGTTTTTTTTTCTTGCAGATGTCAGTTGTCATAAAATAGTGTGTAAATAATCCCTGATCTTAATCTTTTTATACAAATTGTTAAATTACTTAATTGATGTATACTTTCCAACAGTCGCCCTCATTTACTTTTTTTTAAAGAATCCTAATTTCTTAATTAAGTTTATGGGAGGAGTACAGACTAGTGCATGATTACTGCACTTCATGTAATGTGTTAAGCACAATTGTTGTCACCGTTGTATTTAAATCTGTAAAGGCATAACACATTTTTTCAAACTGATGTTAGATAGTGTTTGTACTTGCAGACGCCCAGTTTTAGTAAAACATTATTTCTTAACCAGAAGTAACATAGTTCAGGCCAGTGGGAATTCCTAGAATCAGAGCTTCAACGTAAAACATTTCTAATTATATCTTACAAAAGAAACTGCATTTTAGTGTTTTATTTTGGACCTTCATGGTATGGGAAACACAGAATTATGTGACTATGGTTTCCAAAAGTAAAATAAATGGAATATCATACACATTTTGAATAAATGGTAAAACCAAGAATGTCACAGAATCAAATGTAAAGATCTAAATAATAAATAAATAAAAATACAAAAGGTTTGGGCTGAATATAGATAGTTTAACATTGGCTCAACTCTGCCCAAATATTAATATAGTGCTTGAAAGACAATCAAGACCTGGAAAGAGTTTGTGTAAAGAGGCCCTTAAAAGCACTTTAATTTAGCTTACCAGAGTCTCTGACTTTGAGCCGTGTTCGACTAGTCATTTAAAAATTCACCTGTAACACCAGCTTTACATCTGAAGTGCTTTAGTCAACAATACTTTCAGTTAATGCAGAACTTTGAACCTGAAATGACAATGGTTATAGCTTGCTGACATGTTTCAAAGCTAAATGTAGCTTATTCAGATATCTGAATGTGAGTTAAATAGACCCATATAAAAATAACCATGCCCATGTAAAAACAACTCAAAAAGTGAACCTGAGCTTGTGTGAGAACATGTTTTTTTTTACAGTTATTTTTTAGGGGCTCCCCTAAAAGGGGTCTAACATCACACCTGGTTAATTGTGGGGTGCCTTCCTCAATGTGCACTTGTATCACATCAGTGCATTTTTAACTTATGCAAAAATATATGGAGTAATAATAGCTTTAGGTGTGTGAAAATGTTTAGAGCTGTTATGTACACAATATTTCTTGTTTTGTTGTGTCCATTGTGTTCCAGCTCCACAAATGGAAACTTCTTGAGCGGCATCCCATCCTCCTTCTTGCCAAGAGAGGCACAAATGGTTTTGCGGCCGATTGCCTCTGTCCATGGCAAATCGAGACAGAAGATGGTAACAATGCACTTGTTACCATAAAGAAGATTTACGAAAACCTTCTTAATGGTAAAGTATAAAAATCCGCATGCTATATTTTAAGCCAAAAGTCATTCAGCAATTTATCTGTTAACATTTTTTGTAAATTAATTGCTCAGTTATTTGGTTTTAAATGTAAAAAAAATGTTTTGATTCACTGTTTACCAAGTAGTAAAAATATGTCGTTTTGTCAGTTAAAGGTCCCATGTCATGCTTTTCCGGTTATTACCCGTCCTCTTGTGAGTTATGTAGCTTTTTCTGCATGTAAACGGTCTGCAGAGTCACAAACCCTCAAAGTACAGCCTGTAGCGAGTACAACTCTAACACAGAAAAGACCTGTCTATGCTGCCTCGTTCTTTTTCCATTGACGTAACGGCTCACACATACACATACTCACTGAGCCTTATATTTTCTCAGCCGCGGATCTCCTCTCTCTCACTCACTCACACACACACACACACACACACACACACACACACACACACACACACACACACACACACACACACACACACACACACACACACACACACACACACACACACACACACACACACACACACACACACACACACACACACACACACACACACACACACACAGTCTGGCTGTGAGTGTGTGTGTGTGTGTGTGTGCTCAGGCTGAGTTTTGCGCTGTCTCGCTGTCTCGCTGTCTCGCAGACCCCACGCAGCAACCAGGAAACAGCACCAGTAATACAGCTCACACTGTCCGCTCCTCGAGCCTCAAAGGGCGGAGCAGCGAGCCCCGCAACGTCCCGCCAACACGGTCCCCCAGACAGCATTCTCATCTGTTTGTCATTACTGGTGTCATTTTCTGGTTGCTAACAAACGCCATTGTAACACATAAACACTGATGTTCCGCTGTAACGGTGGTGGACTCATCAGAACAGAGTGGGCGAGCTGACCAATCAGAGCACAGTGGGCTCACAGGGAGGGGGACAGGAGCTCCAACAAGGCGTGTAGGACAGAGAGAGAATACACATACTATACAGAGATGTGGGTTTGGAAAATTGAGCAATGTAAATATATTCTAGTAGACCACAACAATGGAATTATGATTAGTAAAAATGGCCATGACATGGGACCTTTAACTGTTCAGGGCTCAACGCTAACTTTTAAAAGTGGTTGCCAGGCTGGCAACCAGGCATCAGCTTTTGGTTGACAAAACTGAAAATACGGTTGCCATTTTTAGACACCTTATATTTTATATAATTAAGATACTATACAGTTATACATCAACTTAATAATGAACATGTGACACAAAAGAATGTTCAAATGCTTTACAATAAGTAATTAACACAATTAATTGAAACTTAAGTGGTAGTAAACTTGTCCACCCTCAATTGCTGGTATACTAAATACCAGTAGTGCGGTTGTTCTTCACAGATCCCTCACAAATGAATTGAGCAAGTCACTGGTTTCTTGGTCATCCGTTGTCTCCCTTTCAAATGTGGGTTTTCCTGACCTTTGTGCTGACCCCCACCATAGATCCATTGGCCCTTCAGCATTGAAGTCTTGGATTGGCCAGACTAATACATTTCTAATGTTAAATAAATGAAAACCACTCACAGTTAAGAATTAGATATTAATTATTAATGCTGTAAATTACCTTTTGATATTTCTAACTATATTTAAAATCTGTTTCATTTTTATAGAAGTGATTATAATTTAATGCCAATATTTTGCTATGGTAAAGTTTCGTTTTGCACTTTTATTTTGGTAGTAATAAGATCGGGACTCTTATTTTGAAGGTACTTGTAACGGAAGTGAATGGACAACATTCCTCTTTGCTTTTCGTTCGGGTTCATCTTGCGCTTCATCAGTTGAATCACTTTGAACATTCGTTTGAGAAGTTGAAGTGTTGGCCGAACTTTTTACCCCACAGTCAAACAACGTAATTTGCTTCGCCATTTTGTGTAAAACAAACACACGGCGCACCGCGCACGCGAGTAAATGTGCATCGTTTTCTGGCTCCGTAATCACACCAATGCACGCGCAACTTAAGTATCAGGTTCCGACTGGTCACAACAATAATTAAATATCACTCTTAATACAACAAATAATTAACATTTATCTATTTTGGATTGCACATTTAGCTGTTTGCTGTCCTTATTTCTTTACGTTAAAAACTGGTTGCCACTGATGGCAACCAAAGGCCAAGAAGTGGTTGAAATTGTTTCTGAATGGTTGCCAATGGCAATCTGGCAACCGTTACTGTCAAGCCCTGCTGTTATAGAGAAGGATGTGAGAATCTAATTATGACATGTTTTTACTGAAAGGATTACTCAAAACGATAATCAATTATAGAAACAGCTTGCCAATCATTTTAAAGTTGACAATGAATCAACTAATAATCACCCTTACTTGTGGGACTATGTTTTTCATAAAAGCTTAGCAGCACAACTATTGGTGGATTGCTGCACTGGTTTTCTCATCCTAACATTGAAGTCTTAAATGCTTGATTCATAAAAAACAATCAATATTTGTAGTTTCATTTTTAGGTGTAGTTACTCAGATTATAAATGTGGAGGATTACACTTGGTCATTTATTCACCATGTGTACATTTTTTTTCTTCTCAAAAGGGACTTTGGCAGTTGAACCAGCAACAAGAGTGGGGGAGATTCCACCACTAGAAATGGAGGATCCTTCAGCCACACAGGCAGAAATGGCCGCAGACCCAGGATCAGATTCCTTGTCTGTACCTCTCCTTACCACAGAGACTGACACTGTGTTCACTCCCATCCTCACTCCTGTGTCCTCCGGCCTGACTCCTCCTGTGTCCTCCGGTCAATCTCCTCCTGTGTCCTCCGGCCTGACTCCAGCTCTGTCCTTCGGCTTGACTCCTCCTGTGTCCTCCGGCCTGACTCCAGCTCTGTCCTTCGGCCAATCTCCTCGTGTGTCCTCCGGCCTGACTCCAGCTCTGTCCTTCGGCTTGACTCCTCCTGTGTCCTTCGGCCTGACTCCAGCTCTGTCCTTCGGCCTGACTCCTCCTGTGTCCTTTGGCCTGACTCCTCCTGTGTCCTTCGGCCTGACTCCTCCTGTGTCCTCCGGCAAATCTCCTCCTGTGTCCTCCGGCCTGACTCCAGCTCTGTCCTTCGGCTTGACTCCTCCTGTGTCCTCCGGCCAATCTCCTCGTGTGTCCTCCAGCCTAACTCCAGCTCTGTCCTTCGGCCTGACTCCTCCTGTGTCCTCCGGCCTGACTCCTACTGTGTCCTCAGTGTCTTCCTCACAGAAAAGAAGACCAACAAGGAATAAAGTGGCAATTAATGGTATGTGCGGGTTAATTAGTAATTATCTTATTTACATAGACTGAAAACTGTGTTTGATTTTGCACATTGAATTAGTTAATACAAAACAATCATGGGTACAATTAGAATACGCCACCTTTTGTTTTGTTTAGACTTTGCAGTATCAAAAGTCTCAGTGCCATTTCGAACAGTTTAATTGAGCACAATGTGATGTTAGGCAATGTTTAGGAGGTTATTGCTGAGCTTCAACTTATTACCATCTTTTAATTCCTTGCAGAATGTCCCATTCATCAAGGGTCAGCCACTTTCCCCTGCAAAAAAGTACTGAGGGAAAGAATCAGGGAGGTTTGTTTTAGAAAATATTTAAAAAAAATATATAAATAAACAATGACAATAATGCTTCCATGGAACCAAGTTTTATCTTATCTTATTGGATTTTCGTATGCTTTGTTTAAAAGGAGTGTTTCAGTCTTAAGCATGACTGCTAATGTAAATATTGAAATTACAGTAACAATAATTTATTATTCATTTAAGGTTGAGGTACTTGTGTAATGCTTCATGTTGTCGCATTAATGCGTCATGTCCAGCCATTTATTTTTATATTACATTTTTTCTTGTAATCATTTGTACGTGAATTCCTATTCTTGGCAGTGACATTTAAAAATAATAATAGTTACCCATCTCTTATAATTTTTGAATCATAAATCTATCGAATCATAAATCTATCGATTAGATTTATGATTTGAAAATTATAAAAGTAGGGTAGACATGTGGAGATTATCCGGCTGAACAAAACGTGATCCGTCTCTTAACTGTGTGTCAACCACAGACCTTACAGTATTTCGAGCTATTTTCCAAAATCCTATGGAGAAATTGCATTGCTTTTTTGTCTAAGGAACCGGAAGAAGTTTACTTCCGGGTTTAAGGACGCGTCACTGCGGTTCTCTATGGCCCTGCCTGAGCACAACTTAAGTCCTCTGTAAGATGTCAACTTTTGTACACAGAACAATATCTAAAAGTCCTGTTAGTGGTCCTGTTCATTGTCCTGTTCGTTGTCCTCGTCACCGTCCTCATCACCATCCTGTTCGTTGTCCTCATCACCGTCTTCAATGTATTCCTCCATCATGAGAAAAGACGAGTCCGTGCCAATACAGGTGTAGGTGCTGGTGACTCTGCTCAGTTTCTGCTCCAGAAGGTATCGATGGTGTAAAAGACAGCAGTGCAGTCCCCTGTACCCCTCTTCTGTTATATCGCTTGGAGAAACTAAAATAAAAAAGACAAAATGACAGTCTATGTAAGGAAACTTTTAATTAGCATTGATGTTGGTTCCATATAATAATAATAATAATAATAATAATAATAGTATTCCAAAATATTAAACTGTTGGTAAAAATGCTATTGACTGTGTTACAGTCCTTCATATGGTTGAGTTAATCGTACTATTATTTCAAATTATCATTTGATTTCACTGAACTTTTTGTATTTACATGTATGACATTTGAAGAAATTTTTTTTAGTTTACCTGTCTTTCTTTACTCAGGGCCATACCGAGGTGTTGGTGATGTGGCAACCTTACTCTGGATGGTATGTATCTAATCTGAAGTTTCCTTCAGTGTAGCTGATGGGGCTAGCGGAACAGGGGCCAAAAAATAATCTTACCAACCAACTTCATCAACCCTGAGATCACTAACTTAAACATTTTGGGTTCCTCAGCAGTAAATGAAATGTAGTTGATCACATGGGGGTGGGGAGCCATGTCACTAAATTTTAAATTATTTTGTGTGCAGTCTTGAAAACGAGCCACAACTTTGCGCGTGCACGCATGCGGAACTTATAGAATTAGCAATACACCCCTGGTTATGATGATTTTAGTATTAGTTCTGTGATGATGGAGCATCAACTTTTGGATCAACCAGATATTGACAGATTAGGGTTGTCACTTTAAACATGTGACTGACTCTGTATAACCATTTTTTCCCTACTCTTATGATTTTCTTTCATCCTATCTAAAAGATAAAAAACATGAGTTCATTGTTTTAACAAGATTTTTCACGATAAAATAAAATACATGAATCCTGTAAACATTTTTAGTATAGTATTCTTCTTTTTTTTTTATTCCCTGACATGCAACATTATCTGTGATTCTGTTACAGACGCCTACTCAAAAAGTGTGCCAGACTTGCAAACAGAAAATAGGAGTAGCCAGCAGGAAATGCAGGCAATGTGGTGCCAACCAACCCTATAAGGAGAAACTATCAAAGCAAAAGGAAAAGGTTGCACGGGAGTGGAAGGCCACGCAGCAAAAAAACCACAGTGTCAACAAAGTTTATGACTCAACAAATCTACTGGTAAGTTTTTTTTTCTTGCAGATGTCAGTTGTCATAAAATAGTGTGTAAATAATCCCTGATCTTAATCTTTTTATACAAATTGTTAAATTACTTAATTGATGTATATTTTCCAACAGTCGCCCTCATTTACTTTTTTTAAAGAATCCTAATTTCTTAATTAAGTTTATGGGAGGAGTACAGACTAGTGCATGATTACTGCACTTCATGTAATATGTTAAGCACAATTGTTGTCACCGTTGTATTTAAATCTGTAAAGGCATAACACATTTTTTCAAACTGATGTTGGATAGTGTTTGTACTTGCAGACGCCCAGTTTTAGTAAAACATTATTTCTTAACCAGAAGTAACATAGTTCAGGCCAGTGGCGATTCCTAGAATCAGAGCTTCAACGTACATTTTTTCTAATTATATCTTACAAAATAAACTGCATTTTAGTGTTTTATTTTGGACCTTCATGGTATGGCAAACACAGAATTATGTGACTATGGTTTCCAAAGGTAAAATAAATGAAATATCATACACATTTTGAATAAATGGTAAAACCAAGAATGTCACAGAATCAAATGTAAATAACTAAATAATAAATTAAAAATAAATAAATAAAGATACAAAATGTTTGGGCTGACTAATACTATAGATAGTTTAACATTGGCTCAACTCTGCCCAAAACCAGCCCATATTAAAGTGCTTGAAAAAAAGAAAGACAATCAAGACTGGAAAGAGTTTGTATTAATAAAGAGGCCCTTAAAAGCACTTTAAGCCGACTTTGAGCCGTGTTCGACCAGTCATTTAAAAATTCACCTGTAACACCAGAGGCCTGTACTACGAAGCAGGATTTTCGCTTAGCGGCTAACTTCAGGGAAAACTCGGGGTTTCCGGTCCTACGACGCTGGTTATTTTTTTAGCGGGCTAGATCTCCATGGTAACTTATGCTGAGCGGCTAACCTGCCCCGGAGCAGGTTAGGTTGCAGGCTAAGAGATCAACTCAGTGAAAGCACCGCCTGCTGACCAATCAGAGCTCAGTGTGCAGAGTTTAAAGCGATCAAGTCATATTACAGGAGAAAGGAAATACAGAAAAGCTGCCGTTGCAGGAAAGACGGCCGGCAAAAATCAACTGACTGTGTGAACGTGAACATTAATAGAATATCACCTCCCATCTTCAGAGCAATCTGACTATTATAATATTAGCGTTAAGAAAGCTTACTTAAATATCTGCCACAACATAAGTAACCGGATCAAAGTAACATTACGTACAGTCCGCGGCACGGTGAGTGCAGACGTCGATGTGTCCCATTATCATTCATATCACTTCATAATGTATCATATATTTCCTTATCTGAGTCAGCTGAGCCGTATCTGGCCGTGCAACACTCAGTGTCACATAATGTATGCAGAAGTATTATTTTAAGCAACACATTAAGTTGACGAAACACTCGAGTCAAATGTAATTAAAAATCAGATCGTGTTTTAGACGGAGCAGTGATATCATAAACCTGTTAATGTACGCATTCAAACACCTTTTCTTTTACCAGCTGTATTCACCTTGCAGGTGCAGCTATGTGGCTTTTATCCTGGATAAAGTGTTTAAGTCATGGATGTTTAAAGTTCAACTTCTTCATATGTGACTAATATTAAAGTTGACTTTTCATTCAGTACATTTGTGATTGGTCGAATGCTCCAAATACCACCCCTTTCATGTGAACGCGCACCTAACTAGATAGGACACGGCTGGCTTGAGCGATCCACTTGATAACCAGCGTCGTAGTACCATTTAGCGAGAGCGCGTATGTTTTGGATTAGGCCAACCGGCTAACTCAAACATATCCAGGTTATGTTGAACCGGCTTCGTAGTACAAGCCTCTGAAGTGCTTTAGTCATCAATACTTTGAGTTAATGCAGAACTTTGAACCTGAAATGACATAGGTTATAGCTTGCTGACTTGTTTCAAAGCTAAATGTAGCTTATTCAGATATCTGAATGTGAGAGTTAAATAGACCCATATAAAAATAACCATGCTCATGTAAAAAAAACTCAAAAAGTGAACCTGAGCTTGTTTGTTTGTTTTTTTCATGGTGTTTTTTTTTTATAGTTATTTTTTAAGGGGTCTAACATCACACCTGGTTAATTGTGGGGTGCCTTCCTCAATGTGCACTTGTATCACATCAGTGCATTTTTCCTCCAAAATAAATGGAGTAATAATAGCTTTAGGTGTGTGAAAATGTTTAGAGCTGTTATGTAAACAATATTTCTTGTTTTGTTGTGTCCATTGTGTTCCAGCTCCACAAATGGAAAATGCTTGAGCGGCATCGCATCCTCCTTCTTGCCAAGAGAGGCACAAATGGTTTTGCGGCCGATTGCCTCTGTCCATGGCAAATTGAGACAGAAGATGGTAAAAATGCACTCTTAACCTGTAACAAAGGTAACTTAAATTGCCCAAAACCTTAAAATCTGGTTAAAAATGTTCAACCCTTTTCAATTCTGTCTGTTGGCAGAATTACATTCAGTATGTCTTGAGATTCAACATTAGTATGCAGTTCAGGGTGGTCAGGAAGGGTTTTACTGTTTCCATAGATGTGCCTGTCCCAGTGAGACTATAAAGACTTGATAGGGCAACATCATACAGACCTTTCAATATAATTATTTCAAACTGATTTGCTGAGAAACAAATATTGTTTCTAGGTAATGTAACAATAAATACCATTTTGTCGATAGAGATCGTGTTTCTTTCTTCGGAGGGAATAAATCATTTAATCAATTTCTCTCTGGAGCTCCTCCTGGCTACTTTGGGCTCCATGTTTCTCCTGAAAACAGAAACAACAAGGCGTAATCATAAAACATGAAGCCAAATGTTTGGAAAGATGGAACCAAATCTATACCACAGTGATCATATAACATACCAGTGGCTGCCCATTGCTTGACCTCCAACATCCACTGCTCCGTGTCCTCCAGGGAGATGTTCAGCTCTTGCTTGAGACAAGATTGTCCACTTCAGTTTGTGCTCTCTGTGTAGTCTGGTTAGAATGTTTAAAAGGAAAAAGTGAATATGCATTCCAGTTGGTTGAGAAGGTTGTTTTTATACACCGTCTCCTTATATATATATATTATTTTTTTTTAACTGAATTCCTTAATGCACATTAACTGACCAGACAACAACATGAAATGCTAAACACCTTCTCTTCAAGGTTGGCAAGTGTCACCTTAGTGTTCCCTTTTCTTTTTTTTTAAAGATCAAGCGGGATTAACATTATTATTATTATACATAAATTCAGATGAATAAACCTATAGTGCTTTATTAAAAACAAACAGAACAGAGATTCTCTTGGCAGAACAGCGTGGCAGCACCAACATAATGAAATGATTGCAGAATACATTTAATTCAACAACATGTAGCTAAGGATGGTGTTAAATTACTACAACAAGAAACTACAATATTCTTAATGTACATTTTGAAATGCAGTATGGACTTCTTACTTTGACAAATCTCTTTGCCAGTGTCTTGTGGAGATTCTCTACCTTCCTGTGGTTCCATTGCATAGCCAGCACGGTTATCATATCTGCTCTAGCTGTAAACACAAAAACATGAAAATTCATATCAGCTTTACAATGTGGCACTGCTTAAAACTATTTGTTTTCCTACCAACCTGATTTGGTCATGTATTTTGTTGTCAGAGCTGCCCTTGAGAGGAAGCTGTTAACCTGTTCCACTTCGTCGCCGACAGTATTTCCAGCACCTTCCAGGCTTCTGCCACCCCACTTCACCTGCTCAGAATCATAAACAATAAGATCTAGATATTTAGTTATATATATTATCATTTCTTGTACTGTACATCTTTAGTTAACATCAGTATCAGGAGCAATTTCAGAAAGTTGAAATGTTCTGAGATTGACTTATGCTTTGAACTACAATGTCACAACTGCAGTTATTTGAAGCTCTGTTCAATCATTATTTCTACAGTGCAGATATATTTGCTAAAAAAACACAATGGGATTTGTAAGCCTATCCTTGTGACAGTCTGTTTTGTAACAATTTTGTCAACATTTGTAATTATTACAGTTATTCCACAGGCTTGCATAGAATATACTAACTACATGATATTCTTATGTGCACTACAATTTCTAAAACATTTGAATCTAGTGACACAAATGTTTAACTTGCATACTGTACCTCGCATTTGCCTGTGTGGGCCTTGGCGTGCATTACAGAGAGAAAAGGTTTCATCTCTGTAAGTGGTTGGAGCTCAGGGAACTTCGCTGCCATCTTCTCTAAATAAGACCAGTACCTGTCATGACAAAATCAATTAGCTTTTCCAGTTGCATGATGGTAGTAAAAAGATAAACCAGGTCCTTAAAATTACCAGTAAAATCCTTGTAACCAACAACAGCATTTATCCAAATGAATGCTTTTTTGCTTTATATCTACTGGATGTGCAAGAATGAAATAGATAACATGTTTGACACAAACACTTCAAATGTTGCAATAGTTATAACTACCTGCAGGCGACCTCCATATAAAAGAATGTTGCATTCGCAACTTCAGCCAGCTCCTTCTGCAGGAACATTGGGTAGACATATATTTCACCCCGGTAGTGATTTAGGCCTTGTAGCAAGATGCCATGTCTGCACACAGCTATTTGCAGGCCTTCCTCATCCACCTTGGCGCTGGATTTGAGTGAGGTTTCTCTGCAAGCTGTGAATGTTGCCGGTCCACAAACATCACGGCCACTTTTCTGAAATAGACACAATTTGTTACATTTAACCCTGTGCTAAGTAAAATAAATAAAGCGTTAGTGGGTTGAATAGATTCTTACACTCGTCATTTGGCTCCTGATTTTGTCGACAAAGGCAGACACTTAACTGTCCTGGGCAATGAACAGTCCATCAAATAGAGACGGTTCATCTGTCCTGCCAAATTCGAGAAAGAAATTGTAAGCAACATTATCATACATACATAAGTTTGATTGTGTCCTCTATTTAATGGCCAATTTGCTTTTGCTATCAATTTTTCATAAATGTGGAAAAGGTCTTTGTGAATTTGATCTGTAATTCTGTGTAAAGCCTTTTGTCACCATTATTTAACATTAGTGAAAAGTGTACTGACTTCTTGTAAAAAGGTACAAATAAAAGTACATCCTTTAAATTGCTGGGCATGGAATAGGGCAGAGGAAGGCAGAAAAAAAAGTTATATCCAAAGCTGGTTCTCAACCGAGCTCCAACATATCCAACTAACGTCAACCATTTAACATTTTAAAGTTGAGTTAACTTTACACAGCAGCTTATTACGACCTATACTGTAGCTGTCCTCCTCCAAAAAACAATAGTTTTTGGAGGAGGACAGCTATAGGTCGTAATAAGCCGCTATGCATGGGGACCCCTTGAGGGGGTTACCCGACATCACGTTGCAGTAAATTAAAGGGTGTTTCATGTTGTCGTTGCTGTGGACCTTCTTAATCTACCTTCTTTGGCGGCCCCCTTCTGGTCCGGGGGCCCCAAGCAGTTGCCCGCCTTGCTTGTTCACAAGGTGCGCCCCTGCTAATTTGTTTTCAGTACAGCAAAGCTACTCATGGCCACAACCTTTATCGACCTTTACATCTATTTGCAGTAAGGCATCAAAGCTGTAGGCTGATCTGTGCACAGCCAGCTGTTTAATACCAGTAGCACATCCACATTCACAAAGTCACATTCACCTCCTGAGACGGGCCGAGGATGGAGACCACACAATATATTTAGTGAACTCAGAGCAACCATAGGGAGACATTTTGCTTCATAATTATATGTAAAGATTGTGGGCCAATGTCTGTCATGGCCCATTTGTTCATCTATCAAGAACCTAAAGTGTAAGCAACTCTTAAAAAGGCCTATAAGGGACGGTAAAGGTCAAAGCTTCTCTGAATAAATACCATGACACAAAAAAAAGAAGCAACACAATTGTTAATCCCAGCTGAAGACAGGAGAAATTATTGTATTTTAATTTTGGCATAAAATGACGGCATTTGTTAATCAAGTTGATTCAAAGAGGTACATCTGAGGAATCTAAAGAGTCTACAGTTGGAAAATTAGTTGTCACAAAATGGAAATGCACATAAAAAAAATCATACGACTGACAGTTGGCTTTAAATAAATATTTCAGTCTCAAAATGATACTGTGTCAGAACTCAACCCCTGTTACCTTGAGTTTGTGATAAACAAATAAAAAGTATTTATCAACTGAAGTTCTCAAACAGACAGATAGCATTAGACTGTTATCTGAAAGTATTTTGAATAATAAAGTTTAAGCACAAATGTATGTGTTCGGGAAGAAGTGAGTTTATGACTGGATAAATCAGACTTGGATTATACTGCCTTACAGTAGTTGTTTGAGAGTTTGTCTGTTAAATGCAACCACCCCCTATCAACTTAATTTAGTCCAGAAATGTCTCTATTTTTGGATTCATTAGGGAGGCATGAGAGAAAAACTAAGTTTTTTCACAAATCCAAGGCAACACTGGGTGAGGAGTTCATATGGATATGATCGTTTTGAGGATGAAGAACTCGTTTAAGACATAAAGCCTATTAAACTCAAAGACATGCAGATTTTAGGCTGCTGCGGAGTAAATAGATTGCTGTGGGATTGTGCTTTCACTTGCTGAAAGGAATCACACATCCATCTATCACATGAAGCGTAGAGAAAGAGAGCCGGTCAGACAGAGTGAGTAAGAGTGGGTTCAGTGACGTAGTGGAGCTATAAATACAGTTTTCCAAAGGCCATATTGACATGCAGGTGCACATTTATCTGGGAGTCTGGCTCTAGTTTATGAGGTCTTCTTCACCACTGTACCCTGGCGGATGTGATGTTATCAACCGCTTGCCCCCTCCTCCCTCCTACACACACACACACACACACACACACACCCCCCCCACCCTCCAAAGGAAGTAATATGTAAACGGCACAAATAATTGTTTCTGGCTCCCACATTGAACATTGAAGGGAGGGCTTAATAAATAAATAGTCTATATAATAACTCCAACAATCATGACGATGGCAATAATAACAGATATACAAGTTGCAAAGGGGAGGAGTAATTTAAAGGACCCCTGGTCCTGGAAGTAAAAAGGGACATTTGTTTTCTTTGAAGACATGGACATCAGTAGCTCCTGGTTGAATCATGTATACAAAAGATGAGTAAAAACATAAAAAATATGGGGTTCTTTGATAAAAAGAACGTGAGAAGAGACTGTGCACATAAATATTTTCAGGAGGAAATCAACTACAAATCCCAAAGAGACATCAAGAAACTAATATTGACAGTATTTCAATTTTAATTCTGGGTAAGGTAGGTTAATTTTGAACTATGGTACAGTTTAGGAGCCCAAGAGTAACAACTAAGTAAGCTTTTAGATTTTGCCTATTAGTCTACAGCAGGGGTTCTCAAAGTGCGGCCCGCGGGCCAATGGCGGCCCTCGGAAATGTTTCTGGCGGCCCGCGATAGTTAATGTGACACGCTGAAATGCATGCGTTATATTTTAATCCTCCATGGTTCGTATCTAGTAAGAATTAGAATGGAATTTAAGAATGGTAAAACTGCGCCTCCTGGGTTGTCATTCCTAAATTATGAATGACAGCTTGTGGAAAGTTTGCTAGACTACTGGTTGCATGGCAACTAGGCATCTCGCGAGTTGCGGTTAAGCGGAAAATCTGTTGTAAGTTATCAGAATCAGAAACGGGAGTTAGCTAGCGATTTTAGCTAGTCACTGTCTGTAGATAACCCAACTTTGTGTCCTCTGCAAGTTCTTAATGTATACTGTATGTATAATTGGTTAGTACAATAAAGAAAGGATTTGTTTTGGAATTATTTTGTGTTCCGTTTTTTCTTGGGCGGCCCTCAATCCAATATTGGGTACCTAAATTGGCCCTCACTCATCAAAACTTTGAGAACCCCTGGTCTACAGCCTACAGTGAGATGAATTCTAAAAACAGTTCGGTAACATCCTTGCTATTGACAAAATTAGCATAACAATGTTTAGAAGCTAAATGTTTACGATCTCTGTAAAGTGTGTTAGCATGCTACCATTCGCTACAAGATACCGATGGGGTATACTGTATCTTCAATGTTGCAGGTATTTGGTCATAAAACGATGTATGGCCTAATAAAAGTTTGTGCGTGATGGTGCTAGATTTCATTTCAATCTTTATTTCGAACAGATTAAAAAAAATAACAAATGAAAAATAACAAATGTGAAAAACAGAATACCGTATTGTTAAAATACAGTATTTATCCACATTCATGATAATATTTATATATTCAACAAAAACAGTCTTCATATTAATAATAAATCATGTGTCCGAAAGGGAGCAGGAGGAAGCAAATGCTTATTAATTCCCACGCCTTACTTGATCAATGATTGTCCTTTAAATCATAATCATTATGCAAGTGGTGATAGATGATTATCTTAATGGGAATTGAGATAATTTAATCAGGAATTTCAACTAGTGATGTATCTGTATTGTCATTTTGACATCGCAAAACATGTTAATGAAAACTATAGGCAAACAATACCAAGGTTGCAGAGTTATTTTCTGAAATAAGTTTTTAATGCCTGCAGCTTCTACTGCTGTGGCTCCAACAGTGTTTTCTCTCCCACTCTGGCATGTCTTCATGCCTTATGCTGCAAGGAAGCATATGGCTATGTGCTGACTGCTGACATTGTAATTATATACCCCCCTCATCTTTTATTTCACCCACAGCTTTGATGTGTTGACTTGCATATACCATGAGGAGTATTTATGTTGCAAGTGGATGTCAAAAGCAATTAACCCATCCTGCAAAATCATATGGCTTTAAGAATGGTTGAATACAATCAAAGCTAATATACCATCCATCCATCTTCTCCCGCTTATCCGTGGTTGGGTCGCGGGGGTAGCAGTTCCAGCAGAGAGCCCCAAACTTTATTTTCCCTGGCCACATCAACCAGCTCTGACTGGGGGATCCCAAGGCGCTCCCAGGCCAGCGAAGAGATATAATCCCTCCACCTGGTCCTAGGTCTACCCCTTGGTCTCTTCCCAGCTGGACGTGCCTGGAACACCTCCCTAGGGAGGCGCCCAGGTGGCATTCTTACTAGGTGCCCGAACCACCTCAACTGGCTCCTTTCGACGCGAAGGAGGAGCGGTTCAACTCCGAGTCCCTCCCGGATGACTGAACTTCTCACCTTATCCCTAAGGGAGACACCAGCCACCCTGCGGAGAAAACCCATCTCGGCCGCTTGTATCCGCGATCTCGTTCTTTCGGTCAGCTAATATACAATGATTTTAATTAGCTCAAAAGTCGAGTTCTGCTAATTAAAGCAAATAATATTTGTAAATCATCAGTATAGATATTTGTTGTTGTTTTCTATAATCAGTATCCAGGAAAGACAATTCATTTCATACAATTCTATATAACAAGGTTTACAATGATATGATTCAGAACATAAAAAATGGGAAATGTTTACATGTTGAAAATATGCAATGTTCTTATGCTTTAGAAAATAAACACTTGACATCCAGTCTTTCTTAGGATACTTATGGACAAGTTGTGTTTTATGTTGACATCAATGCATTGAAGAGGCAGATACTTTGTCACAGCTGATCCATCCAGAAGGTGGTGAATTATTCACTGTTTTGTTGGCAGGAGGCCTAGGTGGGGATGAAAGGCCTGGCTTCCACCCCAAGGGAGAGCTAAGGGGTGGGAGGGAAACAGCTCGCAGTGCCTGCCCTCACCTACTCTAAGCACCATGCTAGCGTAGCATAGTTAGCAGTCTAACAGCAGTTTGTTCATTAGTGGTTCCCTTGCTGTGTGACAACATCCAGTCAGTCAATTAGACGGCAGCAGTTAGTTGAACAGGTGGGAGTGAGACTGGTGGAGCATTAGGATGAGCGATGATGCCAGGAAGTACATCAGCAACATGTGAGGTTAGCGACGGACGTTAAGAACAGTGGTCATTGGCACAGGTTTTTCCATTTTGTAAAGTTTGACGCGTTAAGTCAATTTAATTATTTTTAACGCTTTTGTAGATCTGGTACGGTGTGTGGGGTTCAATATTGTATAACCAATAGTCTTTGACTGCAGTTGTGGTATAAAAGAAACCAATCAATGACCCAAAATAAAGAAACATTAATTAATGAATCCTGCTGCATTTGTTGTTGTTTTTCTATAAATTACATCTTTAGCCTCCAGTCTTAACGTAACAGAATATTCAGCTCTGTGACTAGATGGTTCTGATTTAAATACACATTGGGAATCAGAAATGAAATCTTCTTGTATGCTTTTGGAAACAATATATTTGCATCAATGAGGACAATAATTTGTATTTCATGTCATCCAAGCCATGGAAGTCCTCACACCGCCCTTTAGCCAAAACACGTTAAGTTTAGGTGAGGGGTGGCACCATGAAGAGTGTGCAGGAGGCAGGACGTGACTAAACTGTCACGTAGCTGGCTCCTAATGTTCCCTTAAAAAACTGATTCTGTAGCCATTCTTTGAACTTACCTTCCTGATAGAAGTTCCCGAATTTCGTCTTCCCATTTCAGTGTATTTTTGTTAACGACTGTATTATGTAAATCTGTTTTATGCCTGGTTTGAATAATTCAGACATTATCATTCTCACCTTAATTTCCACTGGGGAATGTCTAGTACATTTCAGGGTTACAGTGCATGTGCGAAGGTGGCTTCAATTTGTTTTTGCAGAATCTGACTTCCAGAAGCCAAGACAACCCATACCACAGTCAATATAATGGGTCGAACAACTGCCTTACTGGTTGTCAGAAATCTGATACAGAATAAGGAAGTAGCTGGTCTCATAGCTACATATTTTCTATACCGTTCAAAAAACACCCAAGAGGTGTTGTCACACAACCCAGTCTCATGGCATTTCGTGTTCACCAACACGATTTTTAATCTATTGATTCGTGTTCACCAACACGATTTTCCCCTTTTTTTCGTGTTGCACAGCACGATTTTAAAAGCAATGTATTTCTACTGGTAATGACGCTCATGGAAGCACGGCATTCGTTTGTGTCGGCTGCCCTTAAAGGCAATGTGAGCGTCCATTCTCATTGGATAACGGAGAATTGTACACCCGGAAGTAAGTATTCCCCTTACTGTCGATTGATTTTACAGTGATATCTGCACTACTCATCGACTAAAAAACACCAGATTATCCTTGTTAATTACACAACATTGATTGGTTTAAATTGTGTGCAATGCTTTTGTATTTTTCCCCTTCGATTTGGAGAAACAAATATTTTTTCGGAGTAAAGGATAGCAGAAGACACTACACTACCCAGAATCCCCAGCTATCGTTTGGACTACACCATGTGCTCTGTTTGACAAACCCTGTGATAGTCCTCAAGCTCTGTGATTGGAGAGTGTGCTCCGAGGGTTACGCCGAGCCTCGAACAGCACTTGAAATGGGATGGAACCACGTCAGACTGTCCAAAACTGGATTTGAACGGGTCCACAGCGTCCCCCCCTCCCACACCCCGTCCCCAGAACTACACATGCTGGCTATTCTGTTTCGCAACATGTTCTCTATCTATGGCAAGTCTCTACTGGGAGTTGTAGTTTTAAAAGACGTTTTCGTATTTCCCATAATAAGAAGTTGCCAGTATTAAACTGTGTACATCCCTGGAGGTTTAGGGGATAGGAAACACTCAAATTTAAAACATATAATTAATAAATGGGTGAAAATTGCTTGTGCCCATAATGGGCAGCATTAATATATATATACACACATGCCAGCTAAGGTCAGAAGAGCTTTATTTAACAGCTGGTCTTATGTTTGTGACCCCTGTTGTTAATTGATAACATTACATAACATTAATTGATAAGCCTGAAACATGCACTTGTCAAGGTTCAGAGGCAAATTTTGCAAATATGGCAGTAGCCATCGATCAGCTTAAGATAAGATATCATTTATTGATCCCAAGTTGGAACATTTGCGTTACATCAGCATGTGTAACAGTTGTAAATATGCAGTGGTGTTTATTTGTAAATCATTTAGTATAATCACACAAATTCTGTGTTTTATATTTAACAATTCTGTGTTCTTTATTTATTGATTGTTCAATACCTGACAAGGCCGGAGATGAAATATCTACATACATCTTATAAGAGTATAATACATTATATATAATATCAGTTAAAATAAGTGCTTCAACATAGTTAACATTGCTGGAGGTATGCACAAATATTGATAGATGTCTTGTAATGCACTGTTGAGGAACCTGCGACCCAAGTTTTTAATTCAATGCAGAACTACACCATAGTTGTGTAGGCCTATATGATATGTCAATAAACCTTAGAAAATCTTGAAATCTTGAAAGGGATGTGCAAAATAGTCATTATATACAGTCTTTAATTAACTATTAGTAGAGAATAACGAGTAATTAATATACTTTATAGGGATCCTATTAATATCTAATAATAAAAATAATGAAATTCAATAACATGCTTTAACCACTAGGTGTCCCTTTATATCAGTTGTGCACCTTTATGGTGTAAATACAGCCTATACCAATTGGATCAAATATAAAAGTCAGCCGAATTAGTGTTGATACTGCAAGGAGACGTATTGTGTGAAAAGAAATGTAAGATGTTGTTTAATGGCTGATATATTTATGATCCACGTCACGTTTTCAGTTCCTCATGTTTGTCTAGAAGTCTTCTCATCAGGGCTCTATAAATACAGAACTACGGCAGATATGTAATATTTAATGCAGCCGAACCGTGTATTACAATGCCGTTATGTGATGACTTTCAAAGAGAAAAGCAAGCACACTCGGAATAAAGTATTATTATTTTTTTTTTTAATGTTT